TCACCGGGTTGGTTAGGAGCCTCCTCGAGGGTAAAAGTGGGGCTCTTGTGTGTGTCCTGCCAGGGGTGTTGCTGACTGCCGTGGGGGCCCTGGTGCTGCTTACTCACTGCTTGTGTCCTGTAGGTCGCCTGTATCAGGTTGAATACGCCATGGAAGCTATTGGACACGCAGGCACCTGCTTGGGAATTTTAGCAAATGACGGTGTTTTGCTTGCAGCAGAGAGACGCAACATCCACAAGCTTCTTGATGAAGTCTTTTTTTCTGAAAAAATTTATAAACTGAATGAGTAAGTGAGATCTTCGGGAGGGGAGTGTAAAAATGTCTCACTTTCTCACGTAGTGACATCGCACATATTTCGGGAGGGCTATTCCATGTGACGTGGTACTTGAAGTGAACAGTTTTTACCTCTGAGAATTTTTGCTTCTAATTTATCTTGTTTGAAACCTTGAGGCCCAGGGCCATGTGTTACCCTTTTTAAGCACAGAGCCAAGCACTCAGTGGAGAACCTGCGTTGTGTAGTGATAGGAGCCCAGGCTTGGTAGTCACTCAGATTTGGGTGGATTTAGAAGCCGTGTGACCCTGCACTGGTTATTTAGTGCCTCTGGGTCTCAGCCTACTGGAGTAGTTATGGCAGTTTAGTGAAATAAAATAAATAGAAATAAGCTAGCACAGTGTCTGGCTTGTAGCAGGCCCTCAAAGCATTGTTCAGAATGGCTACTCAGGAATTCTGTGGAATTATACTGACTTTTACCAAACCACAGCCTCCCAGAGGTGTGGGGGCAGTTCAGCCGAGCCCTGTGCCCTTGGTGAGGTTTCTGTGACAGTGGGGTGTGTGGGACTTTGTAGCTAGCAGAGGGCAGGGCTTCCTGATTGGACCGTCCCCTAAGCGATGGGCCAGGTACCAGGCTTTTCTGATGGGCTTGTCCGAAGGAGTGCTGTCTCCTCCACGGCGTCACTGTCTCAGGCTTGCCAGGCAGGACAGAGGCTGTTGAGTCTGTGGGAGAGCCAGGGCAGACCAGGGGACGAGGGCAAAGAAAGAAGTGCACCCCTCGTGTGAGCCTAGCCCTGGGCTTCTAGGCAGGCTTAGAAAAGACCCTTCCCGTGGGTGCCCTCCCCTTCACCTCCATCAAGCCAGGCCCCAGGAGGGAGGAGGGCACAGAGGAACCTGTCTTCCTGTCTGGTAAGACCTCTGTTGCCTTTGTTGATGAATCTTGGGATTTCCTTTAGCTTCTTTGTGTTATTCTCTTGCCCCGTTCACAGGGTGGTGATGGTAAGCACATCTGTTGAGGAACTTACGGGTGCATTTGTTTATTTTTCATGTGGAATGACATCAAGTTGAAAGTCTACAAAGATGAAACTTCTGTCATTTCTATAGTAGCTTTGGAGCAAAGGTGGTGCATTTCTAACTGAACTCACAAACCCCTCCCTGCTTACCAATCAATGTCTTTCTTTTCCTCAAGGGACATGGCCTGCAGCGTGGCAGGTATCACTTCTGATGCTAACGTTCTCACTAATGAGCTGAGGCTCATTGCTCAAAGGTATGGTCATAAACAGCATCACTGAAGATACATACGTTAGTTTCGATGTTTCTAAGAAGTCATTTTTGCAAAGATCAGAGTCATTAAAAAATGTATTAATTGAAAATTAAAGTTTTCTTAAACCAAAGTTTAACGTGTTACTTCCTTTAAGGATATTAGGGTGTGGCCGTGCTCTCCTCCCCTCTTCAAATCACAGGTGGCTGTTAGATTGTCCCTGTGGCACAGATTTATTTTCAGAGGGTATTTTGCTTAGGGTGTATCTGTGTTTTAGAGAAAACTACTAATATGCCAATTTCTTTATCGTAGGTATTTATTGCAGTATCAGGAACCAATTCCTTGTGAGCAGTTGGTCACAGCACTGTGTGATATCAAACAAGCTTATACACAGTTCGGAGGTACTGAATTTTTTGGACATTGTATTCCAAAAAGTTAAACCATTTTATGGATAATAACCTTTTTGAGATGGTAAAAAGAAGTTGAAAATGAAATAAAACACTTTTCATAAATCTCTGCTTCCTGAATTAACTGGCTTCCGCTGTGTAGATTGTCATATGTTTTATTAATAGACTGCAGGAAGGCCATAATGCCATTTTCAAATCTGGAAACAAATTGCTTTTTACATAATAATGAAATTCAGCGCTGGTCCTCTGTGTCTTTATTCCCTTTCCTGGCTCTGTCCAAATCCTAGAGACGAAAGTGAGATTTTGGCTGGAGCTTATCTGTGGTGTTCAGAAAACAAAGCAGTTTATGAATGCTTCACTTCAAAGAAGCCTGTAGTCTCCCTCATGGGCTCAGGGAAGCGTGGTGATACTGAATTCAGACTGCTGACATGTTTGGCTGTTTGTTGTTGCTGTTAAAGGAAAACGTCCCTTTGGTGTTTCGTTGCTGTACATCGGCTGGGATAAGCACTATGGCTTTCAGCTCTACCAGAGTGACCCAAGTGGGAATTACGGAGGATGGAAAGCCACATGCATTGGAAACAACAGTGCTGTGAGTATTTTTATGCTGCTGTGAAATTGAGCAAAAGAGAACCACCATGATTTTCAAGTGGCCACGAGTATAAACAATTCTAAAATAGCTGGCGCAACCTTAATGCGATAGGAAGACATCTTGGGTTTCTGCTGGTAGCGAAGTTGCAAGCACTGCTCAGACTCCTGGGGCTCGCTGTCTACGTTTATAGTGAAAGGAAATGCTAATTTTCAGTGGGAAGGGTGGAAATAGATGTAGTTATTTTTCACATCCTAGTTCTCAGACCCCTTGACTTCTGTCACGGACCCCTTGCAGGTCTGAAGAGGTCCAGGTTGCAGACCCCATTCATAGAGCATCAACAGCCCCCTTGTCACCCCATCCCGTGTCTCCCCTCCCTGCCATCAGCATTGTGTGCGTTGGTTATAATGCCCACAGTGATTTCAGCCGTTATTCTTCTGACCAATCCATATTCCGAAAAAGTGCAGGAATTTTTTTTTTTAAAGATTTTATTTATTTCTTTGAGAGAGAGAATGAGAGAGAGAGAGAGAGCATGAGAAGGGGGAGGGTCAGAAGGAGAAGCAGACTCCCCGCCGAGCAGGGGGCCCGATGCGGGACTCGACCCCGGGACTCCAGGACCATGACCTGAGCCGAAGGCAGTCGCCCAACCGACTGAGCCACTCCGGCGCTCAAAGTGCAGGAATTTAACGGAAATTCTTAGTTGATTCTCCTTCATGTCTTACAGGCAGCTGTGTCAATGTTAAAACAGGACTACAAAGAAGGAGAAATGACTCTGAAGTCCGCACTGGCTTTAGCTATCAAAGTCCTAAATAAGACCATGGATGTGAGTAAACTGTCTGCTGAAAAAGGTAATTGGGGCTCACTCCTAACTGGCTCACTTGAGTGAGAGAAGCTGTTGTCCCCCTTCCGTTTGGCTCCTGTGTTCGGCCCTAACATCTTGTCCGAGTGCATTGAAACAGCAGCCTTATGAATTGAGCAGCCTTATACCTGTTTCCCAAGTGCGGGTGCTAGGCCTTAGTGAGGTTCAGTGCCTTGACCGTAATCCCACCCTGCGTTCTGAGCGTCAGGACTTGGGCCTGAATGTTCTTACTGTTCATAGTTAGAGATCTGAGCCATGCTACCTTTAGTTAATAATTGTCTGGTCGGCTTCTCGACAGCCTTGTCTGTGTTTGTGTATACGCACGGTAATATGCGTGTGGTTATGCATTTATCCGTGTGCTGTAGTGTATCTGAGGGATGACATACGCATGAGTTGTTAGAGCCTCTGTTCTTTTGAATCCACCGATCTCTTATGTTATCCCATGTTTGCAATTTTAAATACTTTAAGTTATATGATCATATAAAACACATTTCTAAATAAGGTTTTCAAAAATTGTGGTCAGTTAATGGATTGATTTAGTTTAGGATAATTTAGCTCCTGGTGTTCCTTAGAAAACACAGTCGACCTGCAGACTGTCCTGTCTTGTACTTCTCCCTAATTTCAAGGAGGCAATACTCTGTTTCCCCTGCTCAAAAAATTCCTTTTCCTTTGGTATTAGTTTACCACTTGTCTGTGGTCATGGAAGCTGCTTTCATGCCTTTGTTTTGAAGAGCTTTCAAAGTCCGTGAAAAAGGCGTGTGATCTGACTGTGCCTTCAGGGGCGCCCACGAGGACATGGAGGTTCCTTCTGGTCCTCGCAGCCAATGGCAGGCCAGCTAGAGCCAGGGGTTGGTGTGCTTTTTGCAGGAAAGTGACAGACTGGCGAGTCGGAGGTTGGGATGGGTGGGAGAGACACGTAAGTAGGAGTGTCGCTAGGAGGTGACAGGATGGAAGGTCATCTTCACTGTCGGAGTAGCTGTGAGCTGCACGCAGCACCAAGCCCGGGAGCGTGGGGAGCCTGGGCTCCAGGGGGAGCTGGGACTGTTGTTTGCCCGGTGTGTCCGCCCCATAACGTGCGTGTGCTCCCTTGCAGTGGAGATTGCCACCCTAACAAGAGAGAACGGGAAGACGGCCATCAGAGTCCTCAAACAGAAAGAAGTGGAGCAGCTGATCAAAAACCACGAGGAGGAAGAAGCGAAAGCCGAGCGGGAGAAGAAGGAAAAAGAGCAGAAAGAGAAGGATAAATAGAAGGAGAACCCAGGGCTTTTGTAGCTCACACGGGGCCATTTCAGAGTCCTCGCCATCCTTCTTTCCACCCTGAGAAAGCCCTCACTTGTTCTCGCTTGTGTGGGGAGACGTGGGTGGCACCAGCTGCATCGAGTCCTTGCCGTCTCTGTCCGCTTGAATCCTGTAGCGGCGATGATTGGTCGTGGGCGCCCTCGTCCCTCCTTGTTTTGGGTAATAAAACTTGGAAAGAATGGAGGTGGTGAAGGAAGAGCGTGCCTGTGGCAGGAATCGCCGATGGCCCCGGGATCAGTAAGGGCCACGGTCTCCCCGTGAGTTAGGTGCCCCATGGCGGCCCTCGTGCTTCCTGTCTGAGCTGTGGCGGTTGGCGTGGTGCTCGCTCCGTAAAAAGAAGGGTGGGGATTGCACGCTCAGGCTTTCCCTTGCTGGTGTCCCCCTTCTGTTTGGGGCAGACTAGAGCCGTCCTCTTGGTGTCTGGCAGGGTAGACTCCAGGGACGCAGGGGCCCCTGTCCTGTCCTCGGTCTTGATGGGTTCACACTGGACTGGAAGGGTGTGTGCACGCCTGCATGTACGTGCACGTCTGTGAGCGGTTAACGACACGTGGGAGGCCTGGCTAAGTGGAGCCCTACATACCCACCACCCCGCTTCGGAAACAGCACTTTCGAAGCCCCCTGGGTGTCCCTTGCCCACGTCTTCCCGTCTACGGTGCTCGCGCTCTGGTTTCCTGTCCCCCGTTCCTCTCACTAAGGCGGGTGGGCGACCCGGCTCCGTCCACAGGGATCTGTCTGAGGATGAAGGTGAGGGCCTGGCCAGGCCAGAGCTGGGGCGGGGGTGTGAGCAAGGCAGGCTGAGGATCCTGCTGCTGAGACAGGCCGCCCACAGCCCAGGCTGAGACGTTATGGTCAAGCGGAAAAGAGGAACCAAAGAGAACAGATTTGACTAGAGGGAGCTCCTCTGCTGAGTCTGGCTGTCATTATGTTTGAGTCAGTCCCCTCTGCCAGAAGATGTAGGGCTGCGCTCTGTAGAGTGGGAGCCTGGCCTGCTGCAGGACCATGTGGGAGTCGGCCCTCCTGTGCCCCACAGCCTGGGTGCAGGAGACGCCAGAGCTCCCCAGGTGATTCTCAAACTTGGAGACGCATTAGAAACACGCGGAGCCTGTTAGCACGTCTGGGTTGCAGGGGTGGTGTGTGCGTGCCCGCCCCACTGCTCGTGTTCCTGCCCAGGTTGGTTTTCAAGCCCCTTTGACAGAGTGCTTTTTTAATCCAAATGTCCTTTTCCCTGTACAGCTGGTTGCCGTTACTGCTAATAGCTGTGTTCTGTAGAATGGTCACGAACACTGAGCGAATACTGATCCGTGGCTCAGGGGGAATGAATACCAGGCCAGGTTCCTAAGAGCCTCTGGCCACATTTTGCTCAACCGATCAATGTGTGACCTTGTTTGCTGTGTGTTTCTGTTTAAAGACATCTTATTTAACGTGCGCTGGTAACTCATTAATCTTGAGCTCACGGCCAACAACGGTGACCCGCCGAAACAGAGTTAGTCTGACACACACATCTCAGTCTGGAGGGGCACTAGCCAGCACTTCTGCCCTGAGCTTAGGCGGAATCACAAAGATGTGAAAAATAGGCACAAAACAGACCGAAAGAAGAACGCTGTTGACAGTGTGGGCCGAAACGTGGAGGCAGGGTTCTGCTCTGATCCTGGCTGGGAGCGTGCGCACCTGCACCCGTCCACAGGGACCACGAAGGCCCCGTCCGTGTTGGCGTGGGGCTGGCTACAAGCAAATTTGCAAACACAGAATCTGAACGGTGAGGATCGGCTGCACGTGGTCACGTGACCTTTCGGGTCTCGCTCTGCACGGAAGTGGAGGTAGACGGAGAAGTGAGCTGCCTGTCTCCAGAATAGAGTCTGAGCCTTGGCCCCCACAGTCTCTCACCAGGACTGAGCCAGCCTGGTGCAGGGTCCTCCCTTCAGGCCGTCCTCAACACAGCAGCCAGAGGGCGCTCTCCCAGCGTAGGCTGGCCGGCCACCCTTCCTGCCCAGGGAAAGCCAAGTCCTTTACTCTGGTTTACCGGGGCCCCCACTGCTACCTTCTCTTCCACCAGGTGCTCATCCGAATGAGCCTTCTTGTTCCTTGAAATACCAGGTTTCTTCCACCCCAGGGCCTTTGTACGTGCCAGTCCCCCTACCTTGAGAATGCTCATCCCTGGGAGTGTCTGCACTGCCCACTCCACCATGTTCCAGTGTCACCTTGTTTGGGCCACTGCCCCAGGCACGCACCCTCCCTAACCCTGTGGGGTGTTTCTCCAAGCCCCCCCTCACCACCTGGTACATCTGCCTACTGTCCCAGCATCAGAAATGGGCACGTATTAGGCTTCTGATACTGAGGAATGAGTGAGTGGTTGTCCTTGATATGCTGGAGTGAAATCCTGAAATACACCCCCTTCCCATCCAGGGAGTAGAACTGGTGGGTTTGCTGTATTCTGACCACCCCTTGAGCACTTGCCTAAAGTCACGACAACTGTAGAAGCTGGGGGATGAGAGCCTAGTGCATTTTCCCACCACATCTGGAGCAAGTATTCAGGACTTCATCCTAATGATGGAAAAATCTCAACATATTCACCTTTTTAAAAAAAGATTTTATTTGACAGCGAGCACAAGCGGGGGAGAGGGGCAGAAAGAGAAGCAAACTCCCTGCTGAGCAGGGAGCCTGATGCGGGACTGGGACCCTGGGATCATGACCTGAGCTGAAGGCAGACCCTCAACCGACTGAGCCACCCAAGTGCCCCTAAGATTTTTTTACTATTTTAGGTCCTCTCTACAGCCAACGTGGGGTTTGAACTCACAACTCAGAAGAGTCACATGCCCCACTGACTCAGGCAGCCAGGTGCCGCTGACCCTTTTGTTGAAATAATGTCATGCTGGGAGAAAAGTAAAAACTGGGGGTGAGGGGCTGCCCTAACTGGTTTCTTCCTTGCTCCAAGGCTGTGTCTAGCCTAGATTCTCCCCAGCCCCTTTGCTCCCTCTGCCCTGTGGTGTATTTGTAGCTCTGGGTTGCAGGGTGTTGCCTGGTGCGGCCTGAAGGGAGCTTAGCAATCCTCATCTGAACGTGGGCTCTTTCCAGCGGGGGCACGGCTGGGGCAGGAGCACCTTGATGGGCAGAAGTAGGAAAGCAAAGAGCTAAAAGGTTGAAATCTTGCATCGATTTCATTTGGGCGAGTTACAAATCATGTTTTAAAAATGACTCGTGGGGAAAAAAAAATCAGGTGTTCCTGTGTATGATTTTACTTCTGGAGTTTCTCTTAATCAGAAAATAAGCAAGACTTGAATTTCTAGTCTAGCGCTTTGAAAGTTCCATGAAAGTATTTGTTAGCAATGCAAAAATATTCCATGTTCTGGGGAAAAAAAGCCAGAAAGTAGATTCATTTCTGTTCCTATTTATTATGTTCCCTGGTAATTTTAGGTGATGGCAATTTGTGGCTGAGCAAGACATGTTCTCAGTTATTACTGTGCAGGAAGGGCAGGGCTGTAATCAACTACTTGCTACTGTGGACACGTGCTGGACCCCTGGTGGCCGCGAGCTGCGGCTCGGGAGCGAAGGCCTGGCAGTGGGACAGCCTCACATATATATGGAAAGCCCGTAGCTGAGCCCAGCTGGAGCATAGCTTGTCAGGGGAAGACGGTTAAGGACAGGAGATGGGGTTGGAAATGAACGCTGAAGAGACCAGACAGCTTTGCAGACCGTGTGCCCTGTGCTCTGTGCCATGCAGGAGCTGCTGAGATTTTTGATTTTTTATTTCTTTTAATTATTTATTTGAGAGGGAGCATGGGGGGCGCAGAGGGAGAAGCAGACTCCCACTGAGCGTGGATCCCCACACGGGGCTTGATCCCAGGACCCTGAGATCATGACCGGAGCCAAAATCAAAAGTCGGACGCTCCACCAACTGAGTCCCCCAGGCGCCCCAGATTTTGAGTGAATGAGGGAAAGGAGTACGCCCTAACTCGAGTCCGGGAGCTGGATTGCTGGGAGGAGGCAAGGTGGGGAGACCAGCTGGGAGGCTCCAGAAATGGAAGGTTGAGGGTCTTGGTGGTAAAGGGAACGGAGGAAGGCAGCTCCCCTGGAGTGAGGGGTGAGAGGAGCAGGAAAGCTGGACCAGGGCCTCTCACTCAGAGGGGAGTTAAAAAGGCATTACGAACATGATGAGCAGGGCCTGGGCGGCTCAGTCAGTGAAGCGTCTGACTCTTGGTTTCGGCTCAGGTCATGATCTCACGGTTGTGGGATTGAGCCCCACGTCGGGCTCTGCGCTCAGGGCAGAGTCTGCTTCAGATTCTGTCTGCCTCCCCGCTCGTGCATGCACTCTCTCAAATAAATAACACTCTTGAAAAAAACATGATGAGCTCCTCCTAAAATTTTCTAACATCTTTTTTGTTGTTTTGGCCTGGTAGGGAAGAACTTGATAACAGTGCACATCACCCAGTGAAGTAATCCATGTCACATGCTTTTTTCCCCCTTTCTCTTCCAGATATTCTTCTTTCGTATTATTTTTGTGCTCTGTCTGCCCATGTCCTTGCCCAGAGTCCTGTCACGGCACTTAGAAAAGTCACTTATGAGCTCCTGGTCATCTGTGTCCCAGTGTCTTCTCCTTTTAGCATTTGCATTTTTGTTTTTCATGCTGATAATTGAAGGTTTTTTTGTGTTTTTGTAGGCAAAGTTATGAGTCATTTACATTTTTTGTTGTTAGTATAATATAAAGATATCCCTCATGCCAAAGTATATAAACATTCTATACAAAAACACTAATTTGAAAAGATATATGCACCCCAGTGTTTATTGCAACATTTTCAACAATAGCCAAACTAAGGAAGGAGCCCAATAAAGAAGATGTGATACACACACACACACACACACACACAATGGAATATGATTCAGCCATCAAAAAGAATGAATACTTACCGTTTGCAATGACGTGGATGGAACTAGAGAGTATGATGCTAAGTGAAATAAGTCAGTCAGAGAAAGACAAATACCATATGACTTCACTCATATGTGGAATTGAAGAAGCAAAATAAACAAAAAAGAGAAACCAAGAAACAGACTCTTACCTACAGAGGACACATTGCTGGTCGCCAGAGGGGAGGGGGGGGCGGGGGAGACAGGTGATGGGGTTGAAGGGGGACACCTGTCGTGATGAGCAGTGGGTGATGTGTGGAAATGTCAAGTCGCTAGATTGTGCGCCTGAAGCTAATACCACACTATATGTTAACTATACTGGAATTACAATGTTTAAAAAGTGTATAGACATTCTTCTAGTAAATTTGTGGTTTTTTCATGCATAATTTAAAAAATATAGTTGGTGGGGCGCCTGGGTGGCTCAGTTGGTTAAGCGACTGCCTTCGGCTCAGGTCATGATCCCGAGGGCCTGGGATCGAGCCCCGCATCGGGCTCCCGGCCCCGCGGGAAGCCAGCTTCTCCCTCTCCCTCTCCCCCTGCTTGTGTTCCTGCTCTCGCTGTCTCTGTCTCTGTCAAATAAATAAATAAAATCTTTAAAAATATATATATATAGTTGGTAAACATATAAAAAATATAATTGGTATCTATTTTTAAAAGTCAGGATTGCAATTAATCATGCAACCTTAATTCGGTCGTTCAGACTAATGTTCTTGAATGAATCCGGAATTAGATAAAATGACATAGTTACTTACCTTTCTTTCGTCACGGCTTTATTGAGACATAATTATTATATACCTCACAGGTGAACCCGTCAAAAGCACGCACTCGGTGGCTTTAGTGAGTTTTCACGGCTGTGCAGCCGACACCACGGTTTAGAACGCTCCCACTTTCCCAAACAGAAGCCGCGTCCCACTTGGCCGTCACCCAGCGCCCCCGGCCCCGGGCACCCGGCCCGCTTGGTTTGCCTGTCATGGGTGTGTCATGGCGTACGGTCCACAAGCCACCACGCGGTCACCCGCAGCGGCGTCTCCCCGAGCATCATGTTGTCAAGGTGGCTCGCAGCCCAGCGCGTGCAGGCAGGTCACAGCTACGGGGTAAGAGAAGCAACGGCCGGAATCTATTGTTTTTATTGCTGAAGAATACCCCGTTGTGTGCTCGCCCTGCGTGGTGGACGTGAGGGTGGTTGCGTTTGGGGGCTCTTGCGAGTGGCACCGTCACGAATCCTCATGCACAGACGTCGTTCCTCTGGGGCGAGTCCCCAGGTGGGGTTGCTGGGTCATATCTTGGTTTATTTTTAATCCGTCTTCGTGCTAGACATTCCTATTAGCGATTCAGATTTTAAAAGGCGTCTACTTTCCCCTATTTTCTCCTAAAAGAGCCCCGTATAAGTGGAAACCGGATTGAGTCCTGAGTGAGTGTATATGAATTTGTTAGTTACCATTGAAGTAGGCCTCACGGTTGGAGAGGACCTTTGATTCCTTTCATGTTGGCAGGAAGAATCTCTTCTCTAAGGGCCTTTATCCTGAACACTAGGACAGGACGAGTCTTTGATTCTATACCTAAGGGCCTTATATAATAACATTCTCTGAAAAATTCCAAATCGTACAGGACGGGAGAATCCAGGATAAATTTTCTCCTGGGTCCCGAACAATCCAGTAACTTACTTTTTTCTGATGATAAGGCAGTGTGTGCTCACTTTGGGAAATACACAAGAGATGAAATCAAAATCTCCCATACAAGCTTGCCCGGCCACGGTGCCCTTCTGTCAGTGGCCCGGATGCTGAATAAGTCTACTGGTAGACTTTGGCAAATTACAGGCCATTTGTTTAAACATAGTTTCAAAGGAGAAATTACAATATGTATTTTTCCTTCTCATTGCTTCCCGAAAGTATTTTGAAGCCCTGAAGCCTTAGAAAACCCTTTCTCAAATAGCAGAGCAGAAAGTGTCGTTTGTGGGGCAAACTGTGTGTGTCACTGACCTCATGTTTGCTAACCCTCACAGTCACCTTCTAAAACGTTTGTTATAATGACAGCACTCACTTGCCGAGGGCCTAGGATGTGCTTGGTGATTCAGAGGCATCTTTCCGTTACGTGGTTGAGCAAACCAAAGCTCAGAGAAGGTGAGTGATGCGTGCCAGTCCCCCGGGTGCCTCTGCTCCCGTGTGGGCTGTCCTGCCTTCCACAAGGCCTCCTGCACCTGTCCCCCGGCACGCATGGCTTCCCATCGGGGAATTTCACACATTTATAGGGACAATAATGAAGCTTGAGCTTGAGCACCCCTCACCGGCGTGGCCCCATCCAAGGGCCCCGGAAGGACTCTAACGACGTGTTCTTATGTTCCTGTGCTTAGGGTTTGCGAGAGGGAGATGTTTTAGCTGCAGCTGGTAAGTCCTGCTGTCTGTTCCCACACCCACTTCCCCTCAATTTGGAGGGCTTTGGAGGGGTCGCGGCTGTGATGTGGGCCGTGGGCCGTGAGGTGATTGTTGATCATCCCAGTGTAGGAATGGCTTCCTGGGCATTTCCTTCCAAACACTATTCCAGCTAACCCGGCGTCAGGCCGGGGAGGTGTGGGAACGGAAGCTGCGTGGTGCCCGTTGTTGGAAGACAAACAAGGCTCGACATGGATGGAGTCAGAATCCAGTCTTCAGACGTGCAGAATTATAAGCTGAAGATTCAGCTCTCAAGGCCAAAAAGGCGGGAGAAAAAGTACTACACACATGTGTCAGTTTATCAAACCATGGTTTTCTAGATACTGCAATATTTGTCCACTTCTAAAAAATGAGTAGTTTGTTGAGTCTTATTAAGTTATGAGGACCCCCACCCAAATAATATAAGAATCTTCACTACAAACCTGTCGCTGATGTCCACTGTCCTGAGAAGGAAGTCCATGCTCTCCAACCAGGCCTCACCCCACTCCCTGCATCTTGACGACTCTTCTCCGTCCTTCCTCACAAAGCTCTCTTCTACCTTAGAGCTGCACCCGAGCTGCCTCCCTTTATCTGGAATGCCCCCCCCCCCCCCGCTGTGACTGGTGCTTTCTCTGTCTCCTAGCTCAGGCCACCACCCCAGGAAGGCATTTTCTGACCCCCTCCCCATCACTTTCTATTTATTTCTTCAAGAATTCTTAGCAAATTCTGGAACTATCTTGTTTATTCTCTGCTTTCCTCCCCTAGGCATTAAGTTCTGTCTTGTTTGCTGCATCATCCCAGGAACTGGGCATATGGTTGATTCTCAAATAGCTGTTGAATGAATAGCTGGGAAGTGACAACAAGATTCCAAACTCATGTTTATTTGACATCAAAGACCAAAGGCTGTGTACTTCCCAATAGGCTGCCATTGTTTCCCAGTCTGTTATCCCACAGAGCACTGGGGAGATCAGACGTGCATCAGAAGCACAACAGGCAAGTTCAACTCTGGTTCCCTGATGACAAGAAGATCATATGCAATCAAGGATCAAAATGTCCTTTGGCATGCAGATGGCCTCAAGTATTCCTTAGTGTGCAAGAAATTGAAAACACCTGAAATTAATCAGGCACGTTCTAGACGAGCAAGGGAAGATTGCAACTCAGGTGAGACAGCTGTGGAACTGGACGTTACCAAACGATTTCCAATTGTCAGAGACTTGGCTCAGGTGGCGTGGAATTAGGTTAAAGATAATCAATTCTCTGGGACAATCAATGTCGTATATTACTCTAACCCTCAGAGGGAGCTCTTTGTGTTGCTGAAAGATGCTCATCTGGTCTTGCTTCTTAGCCATAAAAAAACTTGACATCAATTAGTATTGCACAGGAACTGAAGCTGGATGAGAACCCTTGCTAAATAAATTAGAGTGGATAATTAGAGCAGATTCCCAAACGTACAAGAGAAACAGCTCCAGTTTTGTCTCATCTTATCCTCCCTTCCATAAAAGCATTATGTGGCAGTGTCCAGATTACAAATGGAAATCTATTTAATTTTGAATTTTTTGTGTGCTTTTTTTTGAGTTTCAGAATTTCATAATATCCCTTGATTGGAGTGGGAGTAATCTGGGAACAATTAAATTGGCAATCATTAAATTAAATTCTAAAATGGCAGTCCTCCTGCTGGGTGTGCATCCACAAATTTCTGGAGCATCTGTGGTCCATACCCACGGTGTAATTTATCCTTTGAACTTACTTTTGATGTATGTAGCAGTGTCTGAATATCTCTCAGTTCCAGAATAGAAAGTGAGTGACGTCCGTTTGTGTGTTTGGTAAGAACACTTAAATTCTACCTTTTGCACAGAATCGAACACTTACAATTGTGTCTTGCAGACATTAAAACAGGGGCATAAATGTCTTTTATAAATTATACTAGTGGGCCATCTGTGAACAACAGGTAACTTAATGCAATAAATATTTACGCATCATAGGTTGTGTTTACTTAGTGCAAATGTTGAGCTTTTGCATATTAAGTAATTGCAAATCTGGGGAAGAAATTTACAGAAATCCCTATTTTTTTTTTACTGTAGAAATTTCTATGCGTTAGCAGCTTTATTGAGAGCATCAACACATACGTCTAATAAATGTGCACATTGTGACATGATCACCACAATCAAGCTAATTAACATATCTAGGACCTCCACATAACTACCTGTGTGTGTGTGTTGAGATTTAATTAAGATCTATCCTTTTGTATTGTTTCTGTTTGTTTTAAAGGAAAAATTCTTTCATGATGTGATGTCCCAGGACATTTCGGGGGGCATGGGTAACTGCACTGCACTTTTAGGTGGGAAACTGTATCTTTATTTGTAACAAGTGCTGATATTTGTCACATTATAATTTACTCTGTTTTGTAGTGAATTGCCATTTCCTTGTTCACTTGTGTTTTTCTCTTGGTCATTGGGCCTATGACGTTGTGATATAGATACGCTATTACTGAGCTCAGTTATATATATGGTTTATATTTTCGTGATATGTGGTTTTTATGCACTACTACTTAACTATTACAATCCAATAAAAATATGGCCAATTAATTTTCTTTCTTGAAGCTCTGTACATTAAAATGTCTGCCCTTTTACATTTTGATTAGGCATTGAAACAGCCCCTGAAAAAGACCTTTTCTTCTTATATCATTTCTTTTGAAGGACTGAATTTTAATACCCTATCAATACTTGCTTTTTTTGCTTTGATCTGTGAAAACGCATTTAATTTCAGCAGTAAAATTGACAGCATCCATTTTTATCTTTAATTAACTTTTCAGTTTGGCTTTCATCTTAAAGGCTCACAGCAGAATTTATCACCAAACTACAATGGAAATGCTGAATGGGAGATTCGAGAATCTGCCTGGCTCTGCATTTAGCCCAGTTGACCCCATTATAAGAAAGGAAGTGAACGAGGTGGGTATGCGAGACCACGCATTTGGTCACTCCACTCCCAGACGACCATGGTTATCTGACTCCAGACGCCCCCCCCCGCCCCCCACTGTGCTCGCTTTTCGCTGCAAAGCACCAGCTGCCCTTTGCTTAAGGGTTCTGTAAGTGAGCACATCAGAGAGCAATTGCCCCATCCAGGATGATGCCTGCCACCGCCCGACGCAACGGGCCTGTGGCAGAGCCTCTACGGGCTTCCTCTTCTGCCTCCAGGTTTTAAGGCACCACTTAAAAAGTAAAATAGGACGAAATCAGAGAGGGAGACAAACCACAAGAGAGGGTTGCTGGGGGGGAAGGGGGTGGGGGGATGGGGTAATGGGGGATGGGCATGAAGGAGGGCACGTGATGTGATGAGCACTGGGTGTAACACGCAACTGATGAATCACTGACCTCTACCTCTGAAACCAATAATACACTATACGTTAATTAATTGAATTTAAATTAAAAAAGATTAAGGGTGGGGCCCAAAGAGAGCTTTTGCTCAGAATGGTTGTCTCTGAAGCCAGGCCGCCTGGGTTTGAGTCCCTGCTCACCATTTTCCCCTCACTGGCTCTGAGATCTGGGGCAAACTACCCAACATTCATTTATTCATGCAGTAAACATTCTGAGCATCAACTGGTGCTCCATATGCTGGGCGCACCCCCGTGAATAACGCAGACACAGCTTCTGCCCTTCGGGAGCGAGTGTTCCACAGGAGGAATCACATACGGAAGGGTGTGTAATAACAAACCGCGACATGTGCTAAGAGGAGGGGACAGTGCAGAGCGTCACGGGCAGAGGGAGAGGAGGACCCAACGTATATGGCCGGTTTGTGTCTGAGGAGGTGACGGGAATCAGGCAGAGCAAGGGAAGGTGGGGTAGGGAGAGAAAGGGCAGGCAGGGGAGCAGTTTTGGGAAGGCCCGTGGACAGGACTGCAGCTGGGACAGCTGGAAGGCAGGTCACGGGAGGGGTGGCGTGGTGCCCGTGAGGGCAGCAGGGCTACTCTGAGGACCCTGGCACGGACTTGGGCTTTGGCTCCTGTGTTCGCACACTCAGGCTGCCTTCTGCAGAATGTGCTGGGGCGTGCAGGGCAGCAGCCTACGTTGGAGATGAGCAGGGCCGTGCCTACAGCAGTAGGAGGGAGGGGTAGGTACAGGTTCAAGGTGTCGTCAAGGTGACTACCCTGGGAGGGGCGTTGGATGTGGCGAGCGAGGCAGGGTGGGGAACCGGGCATGTGGTGTTTAGCTTGAGGAGGTAGTTGGATGGTGGTGCCACTGACTGAGATAGGAAGAGCAGAGGACACGATGGTTTGGGACTTACTAAGTGCCAGGTCCAAGTGACAATGTCGTCACTTACCCAGGGGGACACACTGGGGGCTCCGAGGTGAGATCAGCACCCGCGTGTGCATCTGCTCATTGCCAGTATGTGGGAGACAACTCACTGCATACAATCAGAGTGTGGAGTCTGAGCAGGTGGAATTCCCAGCATCAGTCTGGGCAGAAGAGAGCGGAGGACGGGGCAGCTCGAGGGGAACACAAACCCTGCCCCTGTCGAGAGCGAATGGGCTTGAGATTGAATGGGCTTGTGTATTTAAAGAGTGCATAGATCATGACAGCCCCCCACTCCTCAGCAAGGTTAATATGGCAATTATTAAATGCCACTTTCCACGGCAAGGCACTGACTGGCTGGTGGGTATTGTAAAGATGAATCGACCTAGATTCTAGGCCTAGGAGCTCATTATCTAGTAGGGGACATAAGATTTAGAGAGAAAAAGATGGAAGTAGGAAGTGCAAGATACAAGTGTTCTGGGTCTTGAGAAAGGGAGGTGGCTAAGGCTGGGGGTGGGGTGGGGGGGGGACCAGGCTGCGCTTCATGGTGTGAGCAGCATTTGAGGGGGGGGTCTTCAAGAAAGGGTGGATGTGGACATTCACAGAAGGGGAGGAGGAGGATGACCAAAGGCAGGGACGTGGGATGAGAACCCCACACAGATCAGAGGGCGATGTGTCTGGGATGCAGGTGCATGATGCAGCCTGTAGGGCAGCCGCTTGGGTCAAAGCTCAGAACGTTGGAAGTCTGATGCTGCGATAGGGGACTTGGTCGGTGAGGGTGCAGTATTCATGCCCTGTGTCAGCTGTGTCTCCTAGCACTGTGACAATGCCTGTTATTAGAGTCAGGTGCAGCTACCGCATCAGGCAACGGAGGGTAACGGGCGTATCCTTCCAGAACAACCAATCCAAGATGCTCACTTTATGTTCCATAATGATTTGCTTGGATTTTAATGTGCCCAACAAATTTCTCACTTCGCCTTTCACTTACAGTCACAGCAACGAGTCGCCTTTTCCGCAGACTATGTAAATCACCATTGTTCTTGTGGTTATTGACAGGACACCCTGGGGAGATCCAGGAGTTGCAATTATGCTTGCAGGCAGAGCTAACAACCGCTGAATCCTGGTTTTCCCACCGAAGGTCCTGTGCCCTCCAGCCGTTTTTCAGCCGCTGTTTCAAGTCCCCTAGCTGTAAAAGTGGAATAGCACTTGACTTTCTCAGATACTGCGCGGGTGAGTTGCAGTAAGTGTCTATATGCCCCATATACCGTGCAGAGCAAACCGAAGTCTGCAGCGAAGGGCCCACAAGCACTTTCCGGCCAAAGGGTCATTGATGACTCACCTGACCCTTTCTGTGGCCCCGCTAAGTTCAGCTCAAGCAGAGCAGCATCATTGGATTTTGTCTCCATGTTCCCCGTTGTACTTAGACCTAGGGGAAAAGTCTTACCTAAATTTTACCATTTACATTCTTTACAACCAGGTTTCTTAAGACTTAACTGAGTCTGGAGCTTGGTGTGAAATTCCTGCTCACAAGGAGCCTTAGAGGCGTCAACTCCATAAGGCTTTCTGTGAAGAATCAGCGAAACGCTCTGCCACTTAAGTTTAAAGTTAATTCGCCTGAATCTCTTCAGCCAGATGAAGCTTTCTAATCAATTATGAACAGAGAGGACGAACCGTAGGGTCAGGAGGGATTGGAGATGGCACTCTAGCAGTCTGCTCCCAAAACCGGCGGGAGGAGTGGCTGTGTTTCTGTGTTTCTCACAGGTGCTCACGGCTGGGCACACGGGGGGGACATTGGTTACAGGTGCTCACGATTGTGCACGCGGGGGGGCAGACATTGCTTACAGATGCTCACAGCTGGGCACACGGGGGGGGACATTGGTTACAGATGCTCACGGCTGGGCACACGGGGTATGGAGGGCACTGCTACAGTCGCTCAGGGATGGACACATGGGGGGGACCACTGCTTACAGATGCTTACTGCTGGACAGCGGGGGTGGGGTGGGGCACTGCTTATGGACGCTCACGGCTGGGCACACGGCGGGGGGGGACATTGGTTACAGATGCTCACGATTGTGCACGCGGGGGGGCGGACATTGCTTACAGATGCTCACGGCTGGGCACACGGGGGGGACACATTGCTTACAGATGCTCACGGCTGGGCACACGGGGGGTATGGAGGGCACTGCTTACAGTCGCTCAAGGATGGACACACGGTGGGGGGGACCACTGCTTACAGACGCTTACTGCTGGACAGCGGGGGTGGGGTGGGGCACTGCTTATGGACGCTCACGGCTGGGCACACGGCGGGGGGGGGGACATTGGTTACAGATGCTCACGATTGTGCACGCGGGGGGGCAGACATTGCTTACAGATGCTCACGGCTGGGCACACGGGGGGGACACATTGCTTACAGATGCTCACGGCTGGGCACACGGGGGGTATGGAGGGCACTGCTACAGTCGCTCAAGGATGGACACACGGTGGGGGGGACCACTGCTTACAGACGCTTACTGCTGGACAGCGGGGGTGGGGTGGGGCACTGCTTATGGACGCTCACGGCTGGGCACACGGCGGGGGGGGGGACATTGGTTACAGATGCTCACGATTGTGCACGCGGGGGGGCAGACATTGCTTACAGATGCTCACGGCTGGGCACACGGGGGGGACACATTGCTTACAGATGCTCACGGCTGGGCACACGGGGGGTATGGAGGGCACTGCTACAGTCGCTCAAGGATGGACACACGGTGGGGGGGACCACTGCTTACAGACGCTTACTGCTGGACAGCGGGGGTGGGTGGGGCACTGCTTATGGACGCTCACGGCTGGGCACACGGCGGGGGGGGGACATTGGTTACAGATGCTCACGATTGTGCACGCGGGGGGGCGGACATTGCTTACAGATGCTCACGGCTGGGCACACGGGGGGTATGGAGGGCACTGCTTACAGTCGCTCAACGATGGACACACGGTGGGGGGACCGCTGCTTACAGATGCTTACTGCTGGGCACATGGGGTGGGGGGACCCTGCTTACAAACGCTTACTGCTGGACAGCCCGGGGGTGGTGGCACTGCTTACGGACGCTCACGGCTGGACACACGGGGCGGGGGGTGCACGGCCTGTGCTGAGACAGCTGCGCGTCATTTCCACGGGCGCCTGAAGGAGGGTCCGGACTGGGCCCCCGGGCCCCCCGCCTGGTTCAGGGACTAGGGCGCTTCAGCTCCGCGCCCCAGTTCCGCGGGCAGTTCTGGTGAGGACGCGGAGCAACTTCCTCCTGTCCGCTGGGCGCAGTCTGTCCGTCTGCTTCCCCCAGTGCCGCCCACAGTGCAGACGTTAATTAGCAATGGCGATCACAGGTAGCTGGGGGCCTGCGCAGGTCGCCGGAGGCCAGAGGGACTGGCCAGGGGCGTCAGCCCGGGCCTCCCGCTTCCCGGGATTGAGCGCCCGGCTGCAGTCGCGGGAGCTGGGGCCCTGGGCCCGGCCAGCTCGGGGGCGGGGCCGTCTGGGGGCGGGGCCATGCGCGGAAAAGGCGGAGCTCTGGCTCTAAGCTAGCTTCTAGGCGGGGGGGGGGGGCCAAAGGCGGGCCGGGGAAAACGGAGGCGGGGCAACGGGCAGGTGGGCGGGGCCAAGGGCGGGGCGGGCGGGGCGGGGCCAGGCGCGGAAAAGGCGGAGCTCTGGCTCTAAGCTAGCTTCTAGGCGGGGGGGGCAAAGGCGGGGCCAAAGGCGGGCCGGGGAAAACGGAGGCGGGGCAACGGGCAGGTGGGCGGGGCCAATGGCGGGCGGGGCGGGGCCAGGCGCGCGAGCCGCCTCAGGCACCACGAGTCCGCGGGAATCCTGCAGGCGGAGGGGGCCGCGCCGGCCCGGGACTGAGGAGCGCGATCCGAGCAGCCACTCCGCAGCAGCGCCGTTCCCCCTTGGCTCCGACCCGCCTCCCGGTGTCATCCCTCTGGAGCCCGAGTTCCCTTCCCGCGCGGCCGTCGCGAGGCGGCCGCCTGCGTTCCCGCGCGGGGCCGGGCGATGTCTGCGTGGGGGTCCCGGCCCGTGGTCCTCCGCCTCCTCCTCCTCTTTCAGCTGGTCGCGGGGCGCTGGGGCCCGGCCGGCGCGGGGGCCGGCGCGCCTGGAGGTGAGGCTGGGCGGCCGGAGGGCAGCCCCTGCGTTCGCCCTCAGAGCACCGGGCAGGGGTCGCGGGGCGGCCGGAGTCCGGGGTCGCAGGACGCGGGGCGGGGGTCGCGGGGCGGCCGGAGTCCGGGGGTCGCAGGACGCGGGGCGGGGGTCGCGGGGCGGCCGGAGTCCGGGGTCGCAGGACGCGGGGCGGGGGGCACGGGGCGGCCGGAGTCCGGGGGGCGCAGGACTCCGGGCAGGGATCGCGGGGCGGCCTAGGGGCACGGGGCGGCGGGGGGCCGGGGATTACGGGGGGGCCGGGGGGCGCAGAAGGGTCAGGGGGCGCGGGGCGGGGATCGCGGGGCGGCCGGGGGGTGCGCAGATCGGTCAGGGGACACGGGGAAGCATGGGTCCAGGGGGCGCAGGGAGGCCGGGAGGTGGGGCGCAGACCGGTAAGGGGGCGCAGGGCGCGGGGTGGGGATCGCCGGGCGGCCGAGGGGCACGGGGCGGCGGGGGTCCGGGGATTACGGGGGGCCGGGGGGCGCAGAAGGGTCAAGGGGCGCGGGGAGCGGGGCAGGGGTCGCGGGAAGGCAAGGGGCACGGGGCGATCGGGGGGTGGGGCTCACGGCGCGGGACGGGGATTGCGGGGCGGCAGGGCTCCGGGGTCCTGGAGGCACCGGGCAGCCGGGGTCGCGGGGCAGCTTCGCGCGGGTGCCCCAGCTACGGCTTGCGCGGAAAACCTTGGTGCAGAGGTTAGCTATTACTAATTTTGTCTCCTGGGGGCTTGGGCGAGGTGTCAGTTTGAATGCCCAGATGTGTTCGTTCAAATTCCGAGAGGCCACTTGGGGTTTGTCCCATGACCCGCATCCCTGCTGGGTGACACAGCGTACTCGCCGATACAACTTTCTCGGTAACAGAGGCCGTTGTCACCTAGCAGGGCTCTCCTTTCGTGCCTTCGGCTGGGCTTCCCACGTTGTTCCTTTATCCACAGGCAAGTGTGGGGCTTCCTTAGGGTTAATGCGAGGCATCCAGACCTGACCTTCTGCCCCTGGCCCCTGGCCCCTGTCTTCCTCCGCCACCCGCCCCTCGTCCTGGCAGCGTTTGCAAGTCTGCGCCGGCAGGTGTTTGCAGATTGCCAGGCAGCTGACTCCCCGGCTGCTGGGAGCCTCGTTTGCATCCTCAGTGCTTCCCTGGCTCCTGAGAGCGGGGCTTTTTTCAGCCTTCGGGGTGATAAGATGTTCTGGACAGGAATAGAAACAAGGAGATGTACTTCTTCAAATTCCAAGTGTTTAGAAGATTTCAGAGTTCGTCCTCTCGATATCTTGAAGAAAAATACCATTTATGGAACACCTATGATGTGATCTAAGCATAGAAAAGGGAAGAGCTGAAAGCCGAAATTCACATCAGTATTTCCATTTTTATGAGTAAGTTTCTTAAAGAGAGGAGGACACGTTATTCAGGTATAGGAAGAATCTTTCCTTGTCTTTCCTTCAGCTTTTTAAACAATGATTTCTGATTCTGGGAATTAATAATCTTGAAGACTAGGATTATTTATTGCAGGATGTAGTGCTTACGGAGACTGAAGAGAATGTGGAGGTGATTTAAACACTTAACATCCTGTGCTGAGAGTGTTGTAACAGAAAGAAAGGGATGTGCTGTTTGGAGTCAGACAAGCCTGGGTTCAGATTATGGCTCTGGCGTATCATACTCACGCGAACAAGTTTGTTTTGGTTGGCTCCCTTTGAGATAGCGGGGATAATATCAATTACTTCTGAGTCATCTTCAGAATTAAGCAATATGCGTGAAATGCCAGGTGCTGTGCCTGACAGTCCAGCAAGCGCTAGTTTCCTGCACCTTTTGGTGAAAGTGGAACTTTTTTCATCTGTTTTCCTATAAGACATTATCGTCAAGCATTAAATGATGTCAGTAGCTTTGTGTTCCTGCTCGGTGTCCAGTGTCCTATTCAGACAATCAGGGCTGATTCATTCCTCCTTTCTGGCCCAGTCTACTAGCCAAGCCCTCCCTTAAAATAGCACCATGTTCTTTTTTTTTTTTTTAAGATTTTATTTATTTATTTGAGAGAGAGAGACTGAGAGACAGAGAGCACGAGAGGGAAGAGGGCAGAGGGAGAAGCAGAC